AACTCTTCCAGTGCCGTTTACAGCCTCTGCAAACTCCTCCAGTGCTGTTTACAGCCTCTGCAAACTCTTCCAGTGCCGTTTACAGCCTCTGCAAATTCCTCCAGTGCTGTTTACAGCCTCTGCAAACTCTTCCAGTGCTGTTTACAGCCTCTGCAAACTCCTCCAGTGCTGTTTACAGCCTCTGCAAACTCCTCCAGTGCTATTTACAGCGTCCGCAAACCTGTTGGAGGGTCATTTACAAATCGGTTCAAACTTGATGACCCATAGCAACAACAGCCTTAGTTACAGCTGCAAAAACCCAAAGAACGGTGCAATTTCAGCTAAAAATAATATCTAACACGAGGTAAGAATGGCTAGGATATTAAGAGATCAGTATGGGGAGGATTTTGAGAGTCAATATAGGTGATTTCATATTGGGTTTTTTTGTGGTTTTGTTGTTTTTTTTTATTTGTGTGTCTGCTTACTTGGAAAAGGATATCAAGCTTGGGTCAAAGAAAGAAAGAAAAACCCACAACAAGATTGGTTGACACAGAGACAGCAGCAATAGGCAGAAGTGTGTCAGAGATGATGAGGCTGACACAGGATGTACACAGGATTCAGGATATACAGGTTCTCGGGATTGTTATGAGTCATGTTCAACTTGATAACACCTAACAACAGTTGCCTCTCATTGCCCTACGGCAGAAGTCTACTCATAGCTTACCCCACAGCAAATTTTCAGAAGCTGTAAACCATAAGGAGAGATTCCATCTATGTCCTTTGGAGCCACTGGTGGATTCAAAACACTAGGGAGGTGCCAGCTTCGGTTAGCAGTGCAACCACCTATAGGCTAGGTCACCAGAAGTCCCCAGAACAACTTAAAACTCAAGAAGAAACTTCTAACAAAAATTTCTGAAAGGATCTTTGGAATTGTTCCTGATAATTTTGCAAAAGTATACAAGTTCTTTCACAATGATGAAGTACTGGGTAACATGAAAGTCATAATTAGCCTCAGGAATTACAGAATAGTTCACAAAAAGGATGAAATAGAAAGTTTAGAGGCTACTGCTAATGTGTAATAAAATTAAGTCTAGCCTACCTTTAAGAGGTAAGGAGTATAACATTTTCTGAATCAGCAGGGTGATCTATATTTCTGCGAACCATGAAACAAACTGATCTCATGTACCCAAGCATGTGCATAAAATAAAACTGTGAAAAACTAAACCAAACAGAGTCATCATTTTTAATTTTTACATAATATACATCAAAATTCATAGTTGGTTTTTCTTACTCCAAAATTTTAAGGGCATAATATTTATGGACATAATTCTTTAAAGTAAATATTTTACAACTGCCTTGATGCACAGAAACTTTTTAACATAGATACTTCATGAAGTCTTTTGTTCATATGGCCACCCACTCCTACTCAGATGTTCTAGTATCTAATATGAACACAGTAGTTTTGATAATCAAAGTAATTTTTCCTCATCATTACAAACCTCCATACAAGAACAACCACATCCAACAAATCTCAAGCTACTGTGAGTATGAATGAATACTCTTTTGCTTTATATCTGAATGCTGTGTATTACGCTTTGATTTATAGTAACTTCTCGTGTTATGGAATTGATTTGCATTGAATACAAACTATAAGTAAAAATAAATTACTTAACCTTCTCCCCAATAACAATAACAAAAAAGAATATTTCTGTGTTCATTGTGATGGTAACGAAGTGTCTTTTGCAAATGACACAATTATTTTATTTTCTTTTATTTTATTTGTCATTCAAAACCTATTAGACCAAACTTATTGCCATCTAGTCAATTCCTATACAGTGTTCATTCTTAGAATGTACATACTTAGAAAAGTAAAAGGTTTTTTTATTAAAAAAATCCTTAGTAAGATTGACAGACATAATAATACCATAGTAATACAATGGTTTTAAACACAGTGGAGATTATAAGGATGGCACAAGCTCAGACAAGGTTTCATTCTGTGGTGCCTAGGATGACTCTGAGTCAAAGTCACGTCAATCACATCAGCAGCAAGCTAGGACAGAGTAGAACTGCCTAACAGGAACATCAAGGCTGCAATCTTTACAGAAGCACACTGCCACCTTTTCCTCCCACAGAGCTGCTGGTGGGTTCACATCACTGACCATTCCTTAGCGGCTAAGCACTTTAACCACTGCACCACAGGATTCCTCTTATTGTTACCACAGAAGGTTAATTAGGATAAAGCAAGAAAACATATACAATCTGATATTTTATTCTAAGTCTTTATTAGCCTTATATGTTGTTGTTGTTGTTGTTGTTGTTGTTGTTAGGTGCCATCAAGTCAAGTACAACTCATAATGGCCCTATGAACAAAAGACATGACTCTGTCCTCTCCTGTGCCATCTTCACACTTCCTGACACATCTGAACCCATTGCGACAGCCACCATGACAGTCCACCTAGTTTAATATCTTCCTCTCCTTCATGAACCCTCCATGCTTCCAAGCATCATGTCCGTCCCAAAGGAACATACCTGAAGTATGTGAGACACAGTCACATCATCCTTCCCTCCAAAGAGTACTCTGGCCACACCCTCTCTAAAAGGGTGTTTCTATTTGTTCTTTCTGCAATCCAGGGGACGTTCAGCACTCTTCTCCAACAGTACAGTTCAAAGACATCAATTATTTTGTCATCTCTATTCATTGTCCAGCTCTCAGATGCATAGCAAGTGATCAGAAAGACCATAGCCTGAATCAATTGCATCTTAGTCCTCAAACTGATATCATCATTACACCTCAATATTTTGGAAAGGTCCCTAACTGCAGATTTTCCTGATGCAATGTGTCTTCTTGGATCCATGTAGATGAAGTTGTTGATGGTTTCAATATTTTCCCTATCTATCACCAGTTGTCAGTTCACCTGATGGTATGCATAGGAATCAGATCGACTACATCTGTGGAAGGAACCAC